ATTTCTTAAGAGGCAGGTCAGGTATTCCCATCTCTTTAAGAATTTTCCACAGTTTGTTGTGATCCACACAGTCAAAGGCTTTCGTATAGTCAATAAAGCAGAAGTAGATGTTTTTCTTGAACTCTCTCACTTTTTTGATGATCCAGTGGATGTTGGCAATTTGATCTATGGTTCCTCTTCCTTTTCTAAATTCAGCTTGAACGTCTGGAAGTTCACAGTTCATATACTGTTAAAGCCTGGCTTGGAGAATTTTGAGCATTACTCTGCTAGATGAGTGCAATTGTGCAGTAGTTTGAAAATTCTTTGGCACTGCCGTTCTTTGGGATTGGAATGAAAACTGACCTTCCCCAGTCCTGTGGTCACTGCTGAGTTTTCCAGATTTGCTGGCATATTGAGTGAAGCACCTTCACTAGGTCTTACTGTGACAAATAAAAGAGTCAATGCATGTAAAATACTTGAACAGTATTAGGCATGTAGCAGGAATTTGGAAAATCTTAGTTATGACCTAAAATAATAATTTTAACAATTATTACTTTCTCAATAATAGATACAGGAGAATAATTGAAAAAGTGCTGAACATATAGCAGAATTTAATAATTCTGTTATAATTTAACATCTTAGTGGCTCAGCCAGTAATGAAACTGCTTGCAATGCAGAAGACACGGGTTCCATCCCTGGGTTGGAAGATGCCCTGGAGAAGAAAATGGCAATCCACTCCATTATTCTTGCCTGAGAAATCCCATGGACAGGTGTCTGGCAGGCTACAGTCCATGGGGTCACAAAGAGTTGGACACAACTGAGTGACTAACACATCACACGCTAGCATTGTTAGATTAATAGCAATCTCCTCAATGATGCTTTGTGCTATTATTACTACTCTTTTCTAACGTTTTTAAACAACTTTTTATTTTACATCAGAGTATAGCCGATTAGCAATGTTGTGACAGTTTTAGATAGACAGCAAAGGGACTCAACCATACATATACATGTATCCATTCTCCTGTAAACTCCTCTCCCACCCAGGCTGCCACATAACATTGAGAAGAGTTCCTTGTGTATACAGTAGGACCTTGTCGGTTATTCATTTTAAATACAATAATGTGTACATGTCTGTCCCAAAGTCTCTAACCATCTCTTGCCCCCATTCTTCCCCCTGGGAACCATAAGCTCATTCTCTAAGGCTGTGAATCTGTTTCTGTTTTGTAAATAAGTTCAATCATATCATTTCTTTTTAGATTCCCAATATAAAGGATGTCATATGATATTTCTCCCTTTCTGTCTGACTTACTTCTCTCAGCATGACAATCCCTAGATCCATCCATATTAGTACATATGGCATTATTTCATTCTCCTTGATGGCTAATATTCCATTGTATACATGAACCATATCTTCTTTGCTCATTCACCTGTCAGTGGACACTTAGGTTGCTTCTATGTCTTGGCTACTGTAAACAGTGCTGCAATGAACATTGGGGTGCATGTATCCTATCAGATCATGTTTTTTGGGGGTATATGGCCAGGAGGGGGATTGTAGGGTCATGTGGCAGCACTAGGTTGTTTTCTAACTAAGATTACTGCTCTTACTATTGCATAGAGACGACCACAAAAGAACTCCAATGATTTAAGCTTTGAGGGTGTCAGTTAAGATGTGGTTGGCTGTTTTATCCAGAACCTTCTTATACACATCATCATCAATTGCTGGCAAGGCAGCTGAAGAATGAAATAAATATGTAGGATTGACATCTCATGTCATATTACACCCTCCAGACTGTTGGGCTGGATGCGGTAACCAAACAGCTGTCAGAAACCATTCCATAGGCCTTGCTCCTGACTCACAATTGCTCTTCATCGCCTGGGATATGATGCTAAATCTTTAGGAGTTTTGGTTTCAGTGAAGAGGAAACATTTTGATCCACACCCACTCCATCCCTGGGGAGAAGGAAGGCTACACTTTATCCCATGACTCATTTGATTTCTAGAAGATTCCTTCTGCTTCAAGGGCTCAGTGGAAATGACACTGGCATGGATCAAGGAAGGAATTTTCATACATAGCCCACATCACTGGCATCAGAGTAAAGAAAACGGAGCTGCATATTTACAGTGAGGGTGCTCACTCTGCTAGGAATTCTAGGAAGTAAAGGCAGATCTTTAATGTTTAAAACTAAGAGGCCTGTTCTGCTTTGCATATTCAGTTCAGTTCAGTCACTCAGTCATTTCCGACTCTTTGCAACCCCATGAATCGCAGTATGCCAGGCCTCCCTGTCCATCACCAACTGCCGGAGTCCACCCAAACCCATGTCCATTGAGTCGGCGATGCCATCTAACCATCTCATCCTCTGTCGTCCCCTTCTCCTCCTGCCTTCTATCTTTCCCAGCATCAGGGTCTATTCTAATGAGTTGGCTCTTCGCATCAGGTGGCCAGAGTATTGGAGTTTCAGCTTCAACATCAGTCCTTCCAATGAACACCCAGGACTGATCTCCTTTAAGATGGACTGGTTGGATTTCCTTGCAGTCCAAGGGACTCTCAAGAGTCTTCTCCAACACCACAGTTCAAAAGCATCAATTCTTTGGCGCTCAGCTTTCTTTATAGTCCGACTCTGACATACATAAATGACTACTGGAAAAACCATGGCTTTGACTAGACAGACCCAAAGCCTTTGACTGTGTGGATCACAATAAACTGTGGAAAAATCTGAAGGAGATGGGAATACCAGACCACCTGATCTGCCTCCTGAGAAACCTGTATGCAGGTCAGGAAGCAACAGTTAGAACTGGACATGGACCAACAGACTGGTTCCAAATAGGAAAAGGAGTATGTCAAGGTTGTATATTGTCACCCTGCTTATTTAACTTATATGCAGAGTACATCATGAGAAATGCTGGGCTGGAGGAAGCTTTGCATATTACCATTTATTAAACTCTCAGCAAGCTCAGAATGGATTCAAAAGACTATTTTTTTTTGGCCGTACGATGTGGGATCTTAGTTCCCCAACCAGGGATTGAACCTATGCCCTCTGCATTGGAAGCACGGTGCCTTAACCACTAGACCAACCAGAGAGGTCCTTAAAAGATATTTTAAAATATTTCTACAGCATGACATTGTGTGTGACTTAAAATCTTCACACAAAAGAAATATTTAGAAATCTAGCCTTGCCTAGGAAGTTGAAGAATCAATACAATAATTGAAAAGAACACACTATTGTATGAGAATCTTTTCTGCGTTTCCAAAGTCAATAAAGCAATGATCAGAACAGACCAGAACTATTAAATATGGTTCATGAAACCATGAGGAACATCTTCTTGATCTGAGACCCTGGGGCTTTCAGCTAGCCCACTGTTCCTAAAGTTTTAGTAGGAATTTACTACTGGCACATTACTTTGCTTGGTGATAAAATACAAGTTGAGAACAGATTTTGCCCTTGTAAGGTGGGAAGTAAGGGCCAAGGAAAGGAAGAAGAGATGAAACAGGTGGAATTTCAGGGGAAGGAAAGTGGAGGAGGATTGGGGAGGCAGGTGTAGGGGACTGGAGCAGGCAGAGTGAAGGAATCTGTAACCCAGAATTTCCGTGGCAAACAGAACACACATGCTATTTGGTCTAAGAGTGGTTTTACTTTATTCCCAGGAAGGCATACAGGACCATCATAGGGATCTGAAATGCATACATGTAAAAATCATTCTATCTGATAGATACTGAACACAAGAAATTTCCAGTAACTGGAAGTGACACAGATGCCTTGTGAAGGAGAAGCTTATGCTCTCCTGGGCTACCCTAAACTCCAGAACCACTGACCATAAACACACATGAGATGAAGTGGAGACAATACCACTCACATGATTCAAACAACATCAAAACCCCCACCCACGTACACACCACAGACTTTGATGTCAGTATAACACCAGCTCTTCTTCTCCCTGCCTATATCATCTTAGGCAAGTTAATTCACCTCCATGAACCTTTTCCCATTGCCTTTTCTATCAAATGGGAACCATAACACCATCTTTGCAGGGTTGTAGGGATTGCGCTTGAGAGATATGAAGCACTCTCATGACTCTTGGCAGATAAAAGGAAAGCCATAAAGATCAAGGTAATCATGACAATGTTAAAGAATCAAGATTTAGTGTCTCTGGACCACAGTTTTCTCTGCTGTAAAACTAGAGGGTGGAACCAGATTTCCAAGAGCACTTAATCCTGTGTGATGGCACTTTTTCTTGCACAGCCTGAGAACTGCCTCTTTTATTTATTTATTTACTTATTTTCTGTATGAGTCATGAGAACCCAGATCTAAGAGGCATTTCATTTTGGACACCAGAATACTGGAGAAGTGATTCTTCCACACACCCTGGGTCATGCCACATCCCTGGGATCTTGGCCCTATCTTAGTGTAGTGTATCCTGATATTGCTCAGGTTCATGATTACTGATTGATATTTTCAGCTTGTCTGGTTTTTGGTTTTTTGGTTTTGTGTGTATGTGTGTGTTCTTTTCCTCCAGGGCAGAGATGGGTGAACTTTTTATGTAAGGGGTCAAACAGTAAACTTTTTAGGCTTAGCAGTCTACACAGTCTTGGTCATAATTACTCCACTCTGTCTTTTAGCACAAAAGCAACCCTAAACAATACATGAGCAAATAGGTAGGCTGGGTCCCAACAAAACTATTTATGGGCACTGAATATGAATTTTGCATAACCATGTGTTGTGAATATTACTATTCTGGACTTTTTTTCCAGCAAAATAAAAACATAGAACCCATTCTTAACTCACAGGTCACACAAAACAAATGGCAGGTAAGATCTGGCCCACAGACTATATAGTTTTCCTGCCCATTTTCTATGGAAAGTTTCAAAAAAGAGATTTGCGTTCCTTTGTCAAAGTCTTTCCAGAGAAATCTTTCCTTGATTCATGCCTGCTCACTCTTTCCTGCTAGGAGGGTCCAAGGTCCTTTGGAGACCCCAAGACCACCTCACACCCCCACCACAATGATGTAAGAACAGATCCACTTACCACATGATCATGATCACTAACTTCATTACAATTTCATTCAGAATGTTGAAGAATTCCACCATCAACTTGGCCTGCTCGCCCATCTTCCCCATGGCAATGCCAAAAGCAATGAAAAACCCTATCAGACCTGTTGGGTGAATCACAGGACACAAAAGGACAAATGATAAAATACATGTTTTCTTCTTGTTTGTAACCATCTCCTGTGTATGCAGCCACATTCTCACTACCAGCTACCCTATGAATTAAGCATTAAAAGACAGAAGTATTATGTCCCACACTGAAAATACCTTTCCCCTGCATAACTATGGCTTTCCTGAATATTTTCCACATGAGCAAGCTGAACTGTAAGCAGGTTAGTTCCTTGGAGAAAATGAATTCATTTTCATTCCAAACTAAAGTACTCTCTTCTTTCTCTCTCCCCCTCACTTATGAAGTCATGTGTAAGCGGGTTCCATTAGTACATAGATTAATGAAGGAAGGCTTGTTGGGACTTGGGGATTATCATGCAAACTTGGGAGTCAATATTAGAAGAGTAGAGATAAATTAGCCAATTCAGTCTCTGCCAGGGTTATGTCTATATTAGTTTGGTGTTATCCCAAATTAATGTATGGTTGGTATACGTTTCACTCTAGGGAAATCCTAAACATGAAATTATTTTTCTATTGCTAATTTGAGAAGGAGGAAGAAATCTTGAAAAATCAAAGGGAAAGCAATGAGAAATCCAAAACAGCTGGGAAACCCCAGATGACCCAGTGTGTTTGGATTTAACCTGTTATTTATTAATTCATCATCATTTTTTCCAAGGTCCAAACGGTTAGAATACTTTCTTTTTTACTGTGTGTGTGTTTTTTTTTCAGGATCATAAAACTAGAATATACTCTTTGTTACTTCCTAGCCCCTTGGCCCTCTTCTCCTTTTACTTGATATCACTTGACTTCCATCTAAGTGCAGCCACACCCCAGCTCCCAGGGTCGATCTAATCCCAGGCCAGGAGGGTCTGAGGAACCCCGTCCCCACCTCTTGATGTCAGCATCAAATTGCACTAAGTCCTGGACCAAGACCAACAACCAACCTTGGATCTTATTTCTGTGTTGCCTTTGCCTCATTCTCTGAGTATCTGTCCTGGAAACCTGTCTGATATGTTAGTTCCTCCAAGGCAAGACCCAGCTTTCCTCTCCCCAGAAAATTCTCTCTGCCACCACTCCCTCCACCCCTTCCTCAGCATCTCACCCTGGAGTCTCACTCAGACTCTCCCAGTGTCTGGGGTGCACTCCATGGCTAACAGATGTCCCCATACTGACTGTGGAGGGGGGGGCAGTGTCTCTGGATTTCTGATAACCAGTCATCATGGGCCCAACTACCAATCTGTGACTGCCAGTCTTGGTGCTCCAATGCCAATGACTTTCATGGACTATAAGTCAGTCATCGTCCCCTTGGCAACGGGCCCTTGCTTGTCCATCTGACTTTTTTTCTGCCCTGCAGTATGGGCCATCCACTCTTCCCTCTCTCCCCTTCCTTTTCCTTACACCTACTCTGTCCCATGTTGGCAGACTTTATTTCCAGCCCCTCCCTATTATTTCCAGTTTCCTATAGTGTCTACTTATGCCCACAGTCTTGAGCCATATCAAGGTAAATTATAGCATTATGATTTGATTCTTTTAGGGGAAAATTCTTTCTGTCCAAACTTCTGAATTTGCCTTTTCCATAGTTACCAAAACGATTCACTTCTCATACCAAGTACATATCAACCCAGATTGTTCAACTATCCTTTGCTGGACCCTCTCTTCTTCAGCAAAAAGAATCTAGCACTTGCACTGAAATTCTTAATCCATTATATTTAATATTTCCACTTTTTAGCTCTTAGCCAGAAAGATTAACTAGTGACTTACAAGTCAGTTTTGGCCATAAACACAAAGGCTTAATGAGAATTAGCGTGACCTAGAATTAGAGTGACCTAGTTCTGCAGTAATAGAGGAAATCAAATTTAGGCTCATCTCAAGCCCACAGAGAGGAGTTTTCTAGGTGTGTGGTGAGTGATAATCTGTGAATATCATGGATGAGAATAGTTAGTGTCACATGGTTAATTCCATCTGGAAATTTTAAGAGAAAATGCCCAAGGTCTCAAGGTCCCAAAGAACTAGGATAAAATAGCATCCCTGGCAGGGTCAGCAAAAAGTGTCCATTTCCATGAGTATAAGAGAGAGAGATGTTGAAAGAAGCAATCTCTCACAGGAGTTGACTTAAGTGGTTGGGATTGAATTGAAGTGAAGCCCAGAGTAGTCTGGAGGTTTGGGGAGTAGAGAAATGAGTCTTTAAAGAAGTGGGAGGCTGGAAGCAGAGTTTTTATCTTCACTATTGCAATGCTTGATCCTTGGGACTTTCCAAAGCCAGAAACAAACCAAAACCAAAAAAAAAAAAAAAAAAAGCCACCATCTCTGCCTTGGAAGACCATGGAAAGAACCTTATTTCAGCCATGATTTGTAAATGGGAAGTTTCTCAACAGTTTAACTTCCCTTAGCTTTCCAGGGCCTCAGTCTGCACTTAGAAACCCATGGCCAGCCTGTCATTTCCCTCTGTAAACACTGCCTCATTGAACTCACTCTCTGGAACAACCAGTGTTTCATTTGAACAAAGCCCTCTTAGACTTGGTCACTGGGGCTGAGCAAGTCCTGAATGGTGGTGAAACTCCCCAGTACAACCAAAGGTCATGTGACTTCCCAGAATCCACCAAGACGCTGGAAATGACCACAAAAAGTATTCTGAATGACTCACTCCAGAGCCCTGACCCCATTACTCATGGCCACAGTACAAAACGCTGGGGCCACATTGACCGTGGGTTGTGGGGGGACAAGGGGAGTTGGGAATGCCTGAAAGGTCACAGGTATCTGGACAGTGGTAAAGAAGAGCCACTCAAGGTTGGATGCAGGTGTTTGCAAACCCTCCTCCTCAGAGGAACTCTCCCACTTTCTCCTTCCTCCTCTCGCCTCCCACTGCTTGTCAACAATATTTATTGATCTTCTGTTGCCTGGCAACCTGGTCTGCTTATCTCTTCCCTCACTCTCACTTCCTGTCAGGTCAAAGAAAAAGACACTTTTTAGTGGTGGGGCAATCTTGCTGAGTCAACCATTCTGGATGAGTAAGGAGTACGGTTACCAAATTTAGATTAAAAAAAAAAAAGGACTCCCAGATAAAATCTGAATTTCAGATAAAGAATGAATTTTTTAAATACAAGTATATCTGGTGCAATATTTGGGACATAACCCTTTAACATTATCTGTTGTTTATCTGAAAGTGAAAAGTGAAAGTGAAGTCGCTTAGTCGTGTCTGAATTTTTGCAACCCCATGGATTGTAGCCCACCAGGCTTCTCCATCCATGGAACTTCCCAGGCAAGAATACTGGAGTGGGTTGCCTTTTCTTTCTCCAGGAAATCTTCCCGACCCAGGGATGGAACCCAGGTCTCCCACATTGCAGGCAGACACTTTACTATCTGAGCCACCAGGGAAGCCCTGAAATTCATGTGAAATGGGCACCCCGTATTTTAACTGACACCCCTACCAAAGAGACAAGGGCATTTGATCTCCTAGATGACAAAGTGAGCTCAATCTTTTCTAAAGAGCTCTCATTCAAATCCTTAGAAAGCTCAGTCTGCATGGATCAGCATATTTCTTCCACATAGATTTCCCATTTCTTGTACCTTATGACCAAATGTCCCTCTGTCTTGGCTTGGGGACACCATTCTAGCAGTGGACTGGGTTATGGCGGGGAGAATGGACCCAGGGGGTGGGTGGGGAGTAAACTGAGCAAACTAGAGTCATCCCCATGTTAGGAGTATCTTCTATGGGTTTTTTCTACTGAGCAGCTCACCTTTAATGATGAGAGTAGCTCACGTGATAAAGCACATGGCACGTACTGCTGTGCCCATGTGCACAATCTCACGGAATCCTCACAATGATCTACAAGAGAAATGCCAACTCCATGCCCACTTTACAGATGAATCTTGAGACATAGAGGAATCTGTCCACAGTTAGATAATCAGTGATGCAGTCCACAAGGGATGCAAACAGGATCCAAACTGGTCTAACTGCAGAGTCCAAGAACCCCTGTGCATGTCAATGTATAGCAAAAACCATTACAATATTGTAAAGCAATTAGCCTCCAACTAATAAAAATACAGGAAAAAAAAAAAAAAGAACCCCTGTAATGGCATGCTCAGATGGTTCCACACTTGGGGAAAGGGCTCCCTGGAATCCCAGAAAGTTAAAACAAAAGCTTCTCCTTTTGAGAAGCTCCTTTAAGCACCAGTGCCAACACTTTCCATTTCTAAAAGCACTGCCTTTGTGTACAGACTGTGAGGACTGGGGCGGGACAGCTCCTATGCCTACGCAGTCTTGGGACTCACACAAGGGTGGCTAGAAAAGAAAGAACTATAAGACTTGGAAGTGTAACCTCATGAAATGGAGAGTCAGAGCAAGTGACTGGCCAACACCAGCCAGAAAGTCGGGGGAAGTGCCCCGTGAGCGTCAGTCCCTTCTCCTTCTCCAACTCCAGTCCCCACACCCCCACTTGGTATTGCTCCAGCCTTCTCCCTTGCCCTTCATCTCAACTCTCAGTCCCAGTTACCCTCAGATCGCTCCCCAGAGAAAGCCTCTTGCTCCACCTACAGGACAGCAGGGTGACTGGCTTTCTGAGAAGGACCCAGGGAGGCCCGGGTGCTGCACTGCGGGAAAGGCCGGCCACGTGGCCCCGGCAAGGCGGTGAAGACAAGGATACTCACCTAAGACATTCATGCCATCCTTGAACTCCAGGCCCTTCTTGATAACCACCTGGGTCTCCTCCGGAGCCTCGGTCACAGTCTCGTTCAACAGCGAGAGGACGGCGTCGGTGGCGTTGCTGTCCTCGTCTGATGGGGGGGCCACCAGAACCTTCTTCGTCACTGTTTGAATCTAATGGGGTGGGGGGAAGAAACATAAAGACAAGACGCGGTTAAAATTACCAAAATCCTAGCCAATTATGTGTTTTAAAATTCCTAATAGGTCAAAAATAATTAAGAAATGTCATAAACGAGATTATAAAATTGGGGAATATTTTATATGTCTGTGTTTGACAGAGTGATGCTTTAAGGCACAAATACAGGTGAGAAATGGCTGTCCTCATCCCATGGTAGGGACAGGATTTATAACATTCTCTTGTAACTACTATGAGCAGTACGGTCAGTAACAGGACACAAGCTTTGAGTGGAGGGACGCCTGTCTTCTTCTTTCATTCCCAGGGAGACAGTATCAAATATGAGACCCAGTTGGATGACCTGCTGGTCCCTGTGATGGGTCCTGGATATGGCCCGTAACAGGAGGCGGAGGGTCTTGGTGGGGGTCAGATCAGCACCCCATAACCCACATGATTTGCTTCTCTCTGCCTGGTTTCCGTCACAAGGAGTCTTCACAGACCCACTGTCATGCGGGCTCCTCCCAGAGCCTGGCTCTGCTGGGGATTTCCATCTGGCTGCCAGATATGCCAGCCACCAGCAGCCACCACAGCAGGGAGGTGTGAGGTGGGAAGACAGCCTCTCCTTCCGGGCAATAATGCCAAGACTTGCTCCCTGTTCCCCAAGCATCTCTGGGCCAACAGTCCCCTAAGAAGCTCTCGGGCTGTTCCTCGACATCTGGGGGCAGCCATCCTATTTTCAAAGGTGCCAGGCACTCTGCATGCTGTGAAAATGCAACGTCTGAGCCCAGAGAATCACTCCCTCCCCGGGCATGAAAATAGAAGGCGTACAGAATCCTAGAATGTCAGTGCCGGCACGTAGTAGGCAACAGATGGCTGAAGCCTGAATAGATACGGAAGCAGAGGCATGGAAAAGTCAAGTGACTCGTCAGATGTCATAGAGTTACTGGGACTTCAACTTCGATGCACTGACCACCCCCGAGTTCTTTTACCAGCTGTGCTGCCTGCTAAACTATATGGACAGAATCCTCCAGAGCTGAGCCCAAGGGTAAGCAAGGCTGAACAGATCGGCTCTCCTAACCGGGAGAGGGAAGTACAGCATACACTCCCTGGGGCGAGGCAGTGCTCTGTGCTCCAACCTGGCCACGTGCACTTGTGCTGGGAGAGGCGCAGGCCGGCTGAATGGGAGCAGGCAGCTCACAGCCGCCTGGACCTGGGCAACGATGGCCCAAAGAGAGAATGAAGGGAGATCTGAAGGGAAGCCTCCATGGACAACAGAGTCATGTGCCTGGGGACAAAGTGGGGACCATAGCCAAATACAGGCCTATTCTGAGAAGGCTAAAAAAGCTAAAGCTCCAAAGAGTAATGGCCATGTGTGTGCTCAGTCACGTCAGTCATATCCGACTCTTTGCGATGCCCTGGACCAGCAGGCTCCTCTGTCCATGGGATTCTCCAGGCAAGATTACTGGAGTGGGTTGCCATTTCCTTCTCCAGGGGATCTTCCTGATCCAGGGATCGAACCCGTGTCTCTTGAGTCTCCTGCATGGCAGGCGGATTCTTTACCACTAGCACCACCACAGCCATCGGCCTGAGTGAATGGTGGCCTCCAGGATCAGGTGGCCAGGTGTTCCATGATCATGCAAATCTGTCTACCTCTTATATCAACAGGAGCCCCTCAAGACTCACAGGGCTGAGTAACTAACCCTAGGACCGAGAGTTAGTAGTTACTAAGACAGGATTCAAAGGGAGCTCTGTTGACTCCAAAATGCTGCTCCCCAAGAGCACAGGTGAGTGGCTTGAGCTGGAGGCCAGGCGCTAGGGATGCTGCCATCCAGACGGGGTTCTCTGCCTTTCTTTCTGGCAATACCAGGTCACCGTCTAAGCGTTCCGTCTTCCAACCCTCTTCAAGACCCTCCTAAGCCCGTGGGATTGCACCTACGTTAAGCTCCCTTTCCTCTGGGCTGCCCAGAGATTGGCTTATGAAATCTGCACCCTCCCTCAGCCTGAAGTAAAATATTCCACATGATTTTTTTTTTCCCCCCAGTAGTCCTAACCCAAAGGGACTATGTCCTTGGATTTCGCTGGAAGAGTAAGGGCTCACTCCTCATGTGAATTTTGCCAGTGGAGGTGTGGGTCCAGGGCCGGGCGGGGCAGGTGCTGCCCCCCTCTATCCTGGTGCTGCTCCCCACCCTCCAGTGCCCTTTGCTCGGGGCAGCAACCTGCAGAGACTGCCCATTGACCGGACAGCTCAGGGAGCGTGAGCATGGCTGACACCACAGAACTCTCCTCTAGCTCACATCCACAGCTCCGGGGGCCTGCCTGCTTCTCAGTCCTGCCTCACTCACTCAGACAAAAGGCACTCCTTCTTGCATGGAGCGTGGTCGTGATCGGGCACCGGAGGGAAGCCCAAATCTGTCCCTCTCCCCTCCCTCTGATACTACTCCCACACCGGGTCTCCTACCGGCTCAGTCTCCTGCTGCTCCCGCTCCAAAGACCTCTTTCCAAAACAGTAAGAATAGACTTGGCACCTGTCCATTGCCCTAAAACCAGCAAGTTCGTCTTTCTAAACAGGCTGGCTGAGGGCCAGGGGCATTAGAGAGAGGGTACCCGGAAGCACCCCTTCCCTAGCCTGTTTCATTCTTTTTTTTTTTTTCCCAGTCTATGACTCCTTGCAGGACAAAGAATGTTTTTCTTTTCTTAAATGTGCTCATTTGTGGCTGCACTGGGTCTTCATCGCTTTCTCTAGTTGCGGCGGGTGGGGGCTCCTCTTCTTTGCGGCACGAGGGCCTCTGTGGCAGTGGCTCCTCTTGTTGCGAAGCACAGGCCCTCGGTTATGCGGGCTTCAGCGGCTGCAGCCCGCGGACTCAGCAGTCATGGCACACGGGCTCAGCCACTCCGTGGCACGTGGAATCTTCCCGGACCAGGGACCACACCCATGTCCCCTGCACTGGCAGGCGGACTCCCGTCCACTGCACCAGGGAAGCCCCCGAGTCGGTTTCTAGTCACTCCCCACTCAACTTCTCCTGCCTGGGATGTCTCCTTTAATATAGCTCCTTGCTACAAGTGCATCCAAAGTGGCGCTGGAAAGCATAGACCATATTCCAGATTTATCCAGAGTGCACTGGCTCAGCAGTGGGTGGCAATGGCACCTTGAGGTCAGCTGGAGATGCAGACTTCTCTTCTCTGTAACCTGTTTCCTAACTTTATTCTTCTGTGATTCACTGGAAATGGTTGAAGGAGGTTCCTTGGTTCTAGTTTACTTCCAACCAGGGCTAATGCGAACGGAGGTGTATTCTAACCTAAACTAATTTTGGGTCTAGACAAGAGGCTGGTTGTCTGTTGACGGGGTCTGGGCAGCTGACTCAGTGAGTTTACTTGAGAGAGGCTAGGATTTGGGACCCGGGACCCAGAACCCTTTGCTACCATGCTTGCATCGGGGCAAGTGTCTCCTCAAGCAATGGGAAAAAGAAGCTATTAGGGACTAAAGACAGCTGCATGCATGCACGGTTGAGGCAAATTATGAACAACACAATGCAAAAAGGCCCAAAACCCAACTGCCACTTCTGAGGTTTCTGGAACAAAAGCAGGGTACCAGGCATGACCCCTGCACACAGCACCACCAAGGGAGTGGGCAGACCACCCAAGGCACCCTACTGGCCTAACCCCTGGACTACCCTACCCTCACCCAGTTTAAGGGACCAGCTTGTCCTGCACCCCTGCACTCCCCCAACCCCCCACACATTCAGGGACAGAGCAAAAGAGGCTGTTACTTGTTCTCACTCCCTCTAGCTGCAGCCTTGCCTGAATTTCTCGTCTGACCTCTTATCAATTTCTAGAGTCTAAGAACTCTGGCCGGCAATATACCCAGCAGAATCAACAGGTTTTAAAAATTGTGTGTTAAAAAAAGCAGATATGCGTGTACGCAGTTGGTAGGAGTATATATTGCTATAAATTTTGTAGGACCATTTTTTTTCAGGACAATTTTTTATAACAGCAAATTCAAAATATCAACTATTTGGCAGGGCATGTTTTGCTTCTAGAAATTATCCTTTAGAAATACTACACAACAACAGAAAAAGAGATGACACCAAAACACTGTTAAACAAGAAAGTAGAATATAGCACCGTATGTATGATGCAATACTCCCGGATAGATATTTTTTTAAATTTTATATACATATACACAACATATATGTGACAAATACATATATATATATATATATATATATATACACATAGGAGGAAACATGAGTAGCCTAGGGAAGGGACATGGGGACTTGAATTTTTACTTTATGTGCATCTAAAAATTTCTTTAAATTTCTACAATCCTCATGTATTACTTTGACAAATACCCTCAAGTATTAATTTGATGAATACCCAATTACTGGGCCCATTCTGGAGATTCTGATTTTGTAGAGCATAAATAAGCATTTTGAAGTGGACCACATGTGGTTTCGCTACATTGCTAAGATCAAGAACCACTGGGTACTCTAGAAGGTTGTGGGCAAGGGTGATAAAAATGTGCCTGTGGATGATAAAGAGACAAGAACCAAAAAGAAGAAAAAGAGACAAACAGCAAAAAGGAGAAGAGAAATTCCAGAGCTAAATGCTATTAAAAATACTGCAAAAGAAATGGAAGTTAAAAAAAAAAGACTAAGCGACTCCTATCCAAATATTCTGCCCCAGAGGACCCCCCACAACACTTAGGCAGAGATATAAATATGAAAAAAATTACTGCCCACAGCTGATTTGCTGAAATAGTCTCAAAGTTATCACCTTCATAACACTGGAGTTTGGAGACGTAAGACTATCAGAACTCTGGGTTACCTGCTGAAAACAGGCTTGAACGAGGTTTTCCGGGAAGAGATTCCGAATAAGGTCCAAAAAGGCATCTAAGCTGGACACTTCATCATTCTTCTTCCCAGGCCCCAGTTGCTTCTTGAGTTTGGGGTTTCCTGGGTGGATGGCCAGGACGAGGATGACCCCCAACACCGCAGCAATGATGGTTGTGGACATGTAGTACACCATAGCTCTTGTGCCTAAGCGGCCGCTGGCTTTAGCATCCAGGCCTGACAACCCTGGATAGAAAAAGAAATCCAGTTCCATTATCTTCCTATTACTTGCCCCTGTCTGCATACCCACAGTTTCCCCAGGTGCTCAGTGGTAAAGAATTCGTCTGCAATGCAGGGGACCTGGGTTTGATACCAAGGTTGGGAAGATTTCCTGGCAGAGAAAATGGCAACCCACTCCAGTATTCTTGCCTGGAGAATCCCCATGGACAGAGGAGCCTGATGGCCTATAGTCCATGGGGTTGCAAACAGTTGGACACGACTAAAGCTACTTGGCACGCATACCTATACCAACCCTTGGCTTTGTATTACTTAAATGTATTAATGGTTAATTAAACCTCCTTCAACTGAATATTTGGTCATTGCCACAGTTTATGATTCAATTTTCCAAGGATATTTTTGAGACTCTAGAGGGTGGTGCTAGTGGTAAAGAATCTGCCTGCCAACGCAGGAGACACAAGAGACACAATTCTATCCAAACCCACTCCAGTATTCTTGCCTGGAAAATCCCATGGACAGAGGAGCATGGTGGGCTGCAGTCCACGGGGGTCACAAGAATTAGACATGACTGTGCGACTGATCACATGCACACGGGGAACTGGGAAGAGTTGGAGAACATCTGGTCCAGGGTTTATAAACTGATTGGTGACAACATTTTTTTTCAGCCTGTGATAGTGAAAGTTGAATGCTCTATTCAATTTTTGATTCTGAGATTATGTCCTTCCCACTTCTTAGGTATTAAGAAATCCTTTCTTATAAAGTGGTGATGCTGGTACATGTTAGGTTTTCTTGTTTGTTTGTTTGAAGGTCCTCACTTAGGGAAAGAAAAGGTTGGTAGCTCTATGTATTCAAAATCTATGGGTCACAAAATCCAAAGTCTAGGAAAGTGGAAATGGTTCTAGCATAGCCCTATCACTCGTGATGGAGACCACGTTTTCTGACCTTCTGCAGGGATGTGAGGACACATGCACAAAACACCCAGCATGGGTGGAAGCTTCATCTGTATCTCAGAAGCTTCTGTGATGGTTAGCAGAAATTCCAAGCAAGTCACAAAAACTCCAGCCTTCACTGGGTTTTTTTCCAGTAGTTTCTTCAGTTTTTCTACTTCCTGGTTTCAGTTCCTGCTTTTACTAGACTGAAACATGCAACTTTTACTGGGGATCAGTCTTTTTTGCCATGGAGGAGGAAGCTATGATTGACATTAACTTTTCTGAATGAAGCTGACCCATATATGACCTATTTGTCCTTACAATCTGAAGTCTAACTCTGACTAATGGAAATGAGACTTCCTTACTGGGTTGGCTTTTACAGTCTATTAAACAAGCATGGAAAACAAATTTCTCTGGTTTCAAAAGGAGCATTTAAAGTAAAATACAGCTTTACTCAGTCTAAGGCTGAATGCTAACACCTTCCTGACACTGAGTGTCAGCTCTTTCCCTCACTGGATTCACTGGTCAACCAGCTATGAGACTGTAACAGCTGAGTTACAGAGTTCTTGGAGTTATCAGAGCTTCACTATATTCATAAGGTAGATGGTCTAGAACAGATTTCTCAAGGTTTCCCAGCCTGTTGGTCCCCCAGATACAAACCAAAACCCAGTTCTTCATCCCTAACCCAGAACTTAGTCTCTAAAATGCAACAATTTCAACAACATTTGAGTAATATTTGGTAAGGAGGAAACTACCTGTATAAGCCCAGGGAGAGGAAAAAAAAAGATCCTTTCAAATGAAACAACTCTTTGAGCCAAAAAACAAGTAGACATGAACTATACATTAAGGGTATCTTTCTTCTGAAACACTCCAAGAGTTTCTTATCTAGTATTTCATTTATCTTTAATAACCACTTCCCTCTACACCCAATTAAATATTACAGAAAAAACTTCTTTTTCTATGCGTTATCTTTATTTGTCAGTTTCTGAACAAGTAAAGTATAGAAAATGAGAAAAGTGTACATTAAAAATTAAAATCTATAGAGATGATCACTTTTAACATATGGCTATTTCCTTTTTATCTTTTGTTGCACAGACAGATGGACCGACCAATAGACGGCAAACTCTTTTTTTTAGGGTTGCTTATTTCAGTTTTGGAGATAGGAAAACCAAGACTCTGAAGTGAAATGACACAGATGATGATCCGATTCATTGATTCAACCAAATTGAGATTTTATGGTCAGTCCAAAAGCAGGAGCAGGAGTATGACCCACTTCAACCCAGTGCCAGAGAAGTGGTCTTACCTGTGATTAAACTGGAGATGATGAGAGGGAGAATGAGCATTTTCAGCATCCTCATGAGTATATCCCCTGGAAAGGCTATTAGCATAACCACATCTGGGTGGATAGGAGATGCCAAGCGAAGAAGTCCTCCACATACTGCCCCCAGGATGACACCTATAAGGAAGGAGAAAAAATATGAATCTATTTTTTGCCCTCATCAAGTGAATAAATAGCTCTAGGATATCATTCAATAACACTGACTTTTCTCGTACCTCTCTATTATCAGATGATGACTAACACATAACAAAAATACCATTAGAAAAGTGAAGCCAATTTTGTTGACTTGTGAGAAAATATTTTCTATCTCCAACTCTTCTAAAAGGCTGCACTGGAAGAGTCAAGAAGAGCCTTCTGAAGGCTTTGTGGGAAATATAACCTGGCAACTTGATCCCAATTTCTTTAGGATATCATCCACTTGCAGAGTCAGGGATTGTCAGTAGAAATAACCCACAATGTCAGATATGCTTCTTTTCCAAGTCTAGCCTGGCAACATGCCATGGTGTCTAATATATTTCTTATCTTTTTAACTGAATATCAAACAAAAGGAACATTTAAGCGATCAAACTGGGGTTAGTTTTCTTTTTTCTACTATTTTCTTTGACCTCCAGTCATTTCCCCATGGCTCATCCTCAAGGAGCTTTGTCTTTGACTTCTATGTCCTGATACATAATCTTGAGATGTGCTGATCTTAGACGGGAGATCAAGGAGGGTGTCTAAAAATATAAGATTTGGGAGGAAACTTCAGGCAGAGTTGCTACCAGGAGCCTTTCGCTTTGCATACTCAAGGATTCCACAACAAAACCTTGGATCGCTCGAAACTGGTGGCTAACATAAGCCACCCTTGTGGAAACCATAAATGGGGTCATAAGCATGACGGGAGTCTGGGAGGGAGGCAGCGGGGTCCTAGGTATGTGGCTACGGGATTAACTCCCGAGATGCAAAGAGAGTAAGTAACAAGGCCAGAAATCGGATATTGTTTTCTTCCACAAGTGAAGAGCACACTTTTTCAAAACTTAAGGTGAATGAAATTTCATCCCTTCTATGGAGGGTAACCCTTGGAAGACCCTATCATGCCTGTGGTTTTCTTCTATTAAGTGAACTGAGCTGGGGCAAATGTCCACTCCTGACTGTCGTCCACTGACATCCAAGATGACTGACTCAAAGGAGAAGGCATGAAGTGATGTGGTTTCAGTACAAGAAACTGCAATTTCCCCTATTTTCAATAAATCCTGGTTGAAAACCCAAGGCCAAGTCTATATCAATGGTCACACAAAAGGACAACCAGCGCCTGGCTGAGACCTGAAGCATAGGAGCAAGGCTTTTGAGGTGGAGTTGGAGCAGGTCAAAGCTTCAGGACAAGCTTCTTCCACATGGACCTGGTTAGCTACTATGCTAACTGAATCTAAGTTAATGAGGGGCATGGAGAAGGTGAATCCTTGGACTCCTGTTGGTGAGGTTTTGGCAACTGTTGTCTTCATCAGGACTCAGGTACTTCTTTAAATGTGGTATACTGACCATCTGCTTTGGAATCACCTAGAAGGTTTAAGGGGCTTCCCCAGTGGCTTAGTGGTAAAGAATCCACCTGCCATGCAGAAGATATAGGAGATGTGGGCTGGATCCATGGGTGGGGAAGATCCCCTGGAGGAGGGCATGGCAACCCACTCCGGTATTCTTGCCTGGAAAATCCCATGGACAGAGGAGCCTGGCGGGCTACAGTCCATAGGGTCACAAAGGGTTGGACATGACTGAAGCGACTGAGTGCACGCACGCGCACACACACACACATACACAGACACACACATGCACAGACGGTTTAAGATGCAGATTCCAAGGTCTCATGCAAATGGCCCACAGCACAGTCTCTGGGAGCAGGACCCGGGAAACTGCATGCTAATATACCCACAGAAACTGGTCATGCTCACTGGAATCTGAGATCCACTAGAACCCCAAGGAGGAAAACATGGCTGGGGAGGGTGAAAGGGAAGAGTCTCACTGAGGCAGCTGTGTCAGGGCAAAGGTGGGGTTAGGCAGCACGTGTGGCTTGCTTTCTGGGTGAGAGTGCCCGCTGCCAGAATCAGCTTCCACACAGAGCCAGGAGAGACCCAGGGCGGAGGGGCGGGTGGGGCCACCTGTCTCCTACCGAACACGGTCAGGGTGAGCAGGAGATTCTTCCCCAGCTTGTCGCACAAGCGCAGCCCCAGATGCCGCGGCTTCGGCTCCTCCGCGCTCAGGTGGCTGTCATGCATCCGTACTTCCACCTGCTTGGGCATGTTGTTGGCACTGAAACAGAAGTGAAGGCAGTGGTTAGAGTCTGCTGGGCACCGCCCCTCTGCAGTTTGAGGGGCTCAGGATGTAGGAGGCAAAACAGCCTCCCCGGGCACAGCTGGGATTCTGGAATCACTGGCAGGGAATTAAAAGTCAAAGAAACTCAGGGTGCCCTGAATGATTGTTCACCTGTAAGCAGGACACCAGGACACACCAAATGCCAACGAGCTAAGTGTTTTTATCCCTATTATCTTGAATCATCACAGGAAAGGCAGTGGAAGGTTCTTCCAAGAGTCCCATGGTAACTCTCCAAGGCAAGTGTCCCTGCCCCATTTTACAGAAAGTAATTTGCCCAGATATGTCTGCCTCCAAAATCTGAGCCCTTTCATTCTTGTATCAAGAGCAAAAAGATGACTTTTTAATAATCTAAGGTCAGAAAAGTAACAGCCTGAGTCACTGCTAAATTAAATGCCTCTGAGCTCCAGTCTTCCCATCCTGGACACAGAAAACTCAGACATGTTAGTAGTCCAAGTTCTACCTCTCTTTTGGAAAAGATGATTTTTCTAGTTTAAAAAAAAAATGATTCCATTGTGGTTTTTAAAAGGTCACTTGCATTATCAGGACTCCTCTGAGCCACCCAAAAGTCATGCTCCTCAGGGTCAAAGGGGCATCTCTCTAAGCAGCCTGTGGTTGCCTCCAACTGCAGATGCACTCCTGTCCTCTTCCAGAAAAACCCCATGTGAACCCAAGTTCTGCTAAGTCAGCCATCAGAGCCCCTGCCAGGACAATGAGTAGTTGTCTCTTTTTTTCCAGCTGTGTCACTTCCTGGACCAGTAACATCTCAAGTTTAAGCTTGGGGATCAACATAGGGAGGCTGATTTTTTTTTACTTTGACATCTTAGGACATTTCTGTCATTTACAACTACCATCATGTGACAAACAAAAAAAGGGTCTTTAACACCTTGAAAGACAAGTCACAGTCTCTGAATAAACAACTATTTCCAGCTGGCGTTAGTGGTAAAGAACCTGCCTGCCAATGCAGGTAGACCCTAAGAGATACCGGTTTGATCCCCGGGTTGGGAAGATCCCCTGGAGGAGGGCATGGCAACCCACTCCAGTATTCCTGCCTGGAGAATCCCATGGGCAGAGGAGCCTGGCGGCCTGTGGTTCACAGGGTTGCAAAGAGCTGGACGAGACTGAATCATCTTAGCACACACGCCTTTCTTCAAGATAGACAGGTGTCAGTCTTACCCTGATATTCCCACCACAGACTGGAGAGACATTCCTTTGGAGTCAACACCAACCTGCAGACCAGTAGTTTGAAATCACTGGTTATACTGGAAATGGTGTGGATTTTGGAATCAGAGAACCTGGGTTCAAATCATGACTTTATCACTTGCTAGCTGTGTGGTTTATAGAAAGAAGGGCTTGGGACTTCCCTGGTGGTCCAGTGATTAATAATCTACCTTCCAGTGCAGGGTGGATGGGTCTGATACCTGGTCGGGGAACTAAGATCCCACGTGCCGTGAGGCAACCAAGTCCACATACAGAAACTGCTGAGCCCAGGGTCTCAACTAGAGAGCCTGTGTGCTGCGAACTACAGAACCCAGGCACTCTGGAGCCTGCAGACCACAACTGGAGAAAAGCCTGTGTGGCTGCAAGGAAGAGTCCTCGCGCTATAAATAACACCTGACATATCCATAAATAAATAAATATTTTCTAAAAAAAAGAAAAAGGAAGGAAAAGCTCGAGGCCTACCTTGTGGAAGTTAAACATGATGATGTATGTTAGGCAGCCAGCACACATGGTTCCTTTCTCCAGAGAATTTTCATGACACGTGTGACATTTAACTTAGGGGACCCATCCAGTTGCACCACCACTCAAGACACCATTAGGGACATATAGCCATATGGTTTCCATAGTGTAGTGGTTATCACATTTGCCTAACACGTGAAAAGTCCCCGGTTCAAAACTGGGCGGAAACAATCTTTGGAGAAAGAAATGGCAACCCACTCCAGTACTCTTGCCTGGAAAATCCCATGGAGGGAGGAGCCTGGTAGGCTACAGTCCATGGGGTTGCAAAGAGTTGGACATGACTGAGCAACTTCTCTTTCTTTCTTTCAAGACACCAAGCTTAGCTTCTGGACTCTCCAAGTCAAGACCAGGGACCCAATACAATGACATACTTTTTCTTACTTAATGTACTTGCTTCTAAAATATTTTAAAATTAGGAATAATGTAGCAAGGTCTGGTAGAACACTCAGATGAAAACATTAGTCAAAATAAAAGCATCTTAGTCTTCCTACAGTGGCCTAATTTTCTACTCATCTAGTTAGTTTGGGGGCACCCCCCGACTATCTGGCATGTGTGTATGTTAATGATCATTCAGGCAGTCTAAAGAAAACAGGGCAGGAAGTTCACTGCCAGCAGACAAGGGCTGTCTGACCGGCAGGCAGTGAAGACCATTTCCTCCCATCACCAAATAAAACAGATGGAAAAGTTCTTTTTTACAGCATAGCAGGGAAAATGATAAAAACGACCTTTTTAACATGGATGGACCATATTTCCATGCTTGCATTAGGATCTTTTCATATTTTTAAACACTTCTCCAGCCAACAATCTGAAGTTGTAAACCGGGAAATTGCCAATAGAGAATGGCGGCCGCACGTGTTCTAAAATGGTGAATGCGTTCGTTAGCCAGCCCTTGGCGAAATACTCTATGAGCGCCTCAAGAGCAAAATCCCCTGCCTTCTGTTTCATATGAAGCCCTCCTGCCACTGAAATTAGAATCATGGTTGGTATCTCAGTGAGACTATCAAGTATTTAAACCAGACATTCTGGCAAGATCCATACGATGTAATGAAAGTGTCAGGCATCAAGACAGCCACGTCCAAGTAAAAACACACAAATATTAGGTTAATGTCCAGACCCCATCAAGCAGTGTGGTTGGATGCCTGTTGGCCACCCTTCTGAGTCGCACAAAATCTCTGTTTGTTTAGCGATTTGTCTTTTAAGCCATGGCAAAACATCCCTGAAGCCCAGAATCAAAACAGCCACATCAAAGTGGCAGCATCAAAATGTCATGAACCCACAAGTATTTATTGAGAGGATGCCTGTGACTTGCCCTCTTGGAATTAAACACGTGCTCCAGGCTCAGAGAAGCTTCTAACATCTGCGTGTAGAAAATCATTGTTAAAGTGCATCAGGGTCTTGTCTTACCTCTGGGGATGCAGTGAGTCCCCTAAGAACTTTTTGTAAAAATCCTTGACAAGTCTAAGTGATCCCTACCTACATCCCCCAGAACACAAAGAGAGCTTGAAATGGAGAATATTATAGAACATAACATTAAACAATATGGTACAGCACAATACAGAACTGCTTCTAAGCCTTATATATCCTCAGAGGAACAGATGTATTGCTTTGTTTTTGTTTCGTATTTACCATTTCTAATCATCTTTAGCGTTGGATAGCATCACCGATTCAATGGACAAGAACTTGGGCAAACTCAGGGAGATAGTAAGGGACAGGAAGGCCTGACATATTCCAGTCCATGGGGTAGCAAAGAGTAGGACACGACTTGGCCGCTGAATAACAACAATCATCTTTATTCCTTCCAATAGTTGTAAGGTTTTCTTCCTTGTAGTTTTACTTAGATATAAATGACACACAGCATTGTATAAGCTTAAGGTAAGCAGCATAATGATTTGATTTACATATAATGTGAAGTGAGTATCACAGTAAGTTTAGAAAACATCCATCATCTCATATATGTACAAAATTAAAGAAATAGAAAACAAATTTTTCCTTGTGATGACAACTTTTAGGATTTACTCTCAACAACTTTCATATATAACATGCAGCAGTGTTGTTATACTTATCATGGTGTACATTACATCCCTGGAACAGATACAGTTTTCCATATGAGTTTACACACATCCACAGCTATGTGGATGCTGGCTACTGAATGTACCCAGTAACAGCAGTGATAACAAGGATACCGGGTATTTACTGAGGACTCTGTGTCATACATGACAGGCAGTAATGAGTGAGGTATAATGCTTGCCTTAAGGAGCTCATATGCGGAACACAGAGCGCAAGGTCTGGTACTGGTCTCCTGACATACGGGCCATGATGAGATCCTGTACGGGACGCTATGGGGCCTGGTAAGAACGATGCCTAACCTAGCTTTGGGGAAGAAAAAGAGAGTTCAAGAAAGGTTCCCAGGAGGGACTGATACCAGAGCTGGATCTTAAAGGATGGATTTAATTTAAACGTCTACATCCTCCACCACTCTTCGAACCCTGAGAGCAGGACTGTGTTCTTTAACACCTGGCCCCAAGCACTTGATAAATGTTTGTTCAAAGAAACTATGAGCCGGAAAGCAGCTATACAGGGCACTGTGCTTCCTCCTGGGAACCAGGTCCTTCTACAGTAGCTGGCAGCATACGACCTAGCAACCCTCTCACCATTTTGCATTTATTCCACAAGTTCCTGTCGGGCATATATTATAGGCCCCATGCTGTTATAGGTGCTAAAATAACACAGTAGACAAAAGAGACAAAGCCCTTGCTCTTGCAGGATGTACATTTTAGTGGGGAACAAATAAATGAATAAATATATTTCAAGTGGAGATATGCTAGGAAGGGGGTGACACGCAGAAAGAAGACAGAGTTATTTTGCATCAGCTGGTCAGGAAAGGACAGCTTCTGTGATAAAGGACATTTGACCAGAAACCTGGAGGAATAAGGGGTCTCCTAAATTAAGAATGCAATTTGTCCAGAGTTTAGCAAAATAAATGAAATATACACAACTTAGGAATGTATTTGTCCAAACTAGCACCTGAAGCTCCCACCAGATGCCAATTCTGGTGTCCACATGTTGGTTTTTAGCACAGGCACAGATTCAAACAAAAGTCAAGGCAGTAATGCATCCCATTATCATCATGAATATGGTGGATTTCAGTGACCGGCCCAGCTTCAAGAGAAATGAATTCCAGAGAAATGTGAGTTGGACCC